GCCTGTCCTCCTATCTATCTGTCCATATACCCATGTTTGTGACCAAGCAGTGACCACAACCTTGCCCCTTGTCAGCTCTACTATACACCTGGGAATTCTGATCATTCACATAAACTTATAGGACCATTGGATCTTGGATACTTTTATTGCTCCAGAATATCCTCCTCTTTCCTTTCTAGTCTCTAATGTCCCCATTTGTTTCACCAACTTCTATTTCCACCTGAGCCCCATCCTTTTAATTAAAAAAAAATTAATACATACGGGTATAAAATAATATATAATGAATATTCATATAATTATTATCCAAAAAGAACATATGTGCACAAAACTGGATACATTGTTTATATTTCCTTCAGCTGTTTGTTTGCTATTTTTGGAACAAACAGTATAGATATGGTTGAAATTACTTATTTTTGCATTCCTAATTCCATCCTTCACCACACCTCCCTATAGATAATCAGGATCATTATTTTAGTTTGTATCTGGTCCATGTTTTTATGCTTTAACTACACATATATCCATTAAAAATATATCTAATATTTGTATTGTAAATTTGTAACTATTCAGTAAATGGGATTCTACTGTAGCATTTTGCAACTTTTTAAACTCAATATTGTTTTCAAAATCTAAGTTTGTTTCATATAAATCTGATTCAATAATTCTAAATTCGATATATCTAGCATTCTCCCATCAAATATACCACAATTTGTTTACCATTTCCCTACTGATAGAAATTTGAGTTGTTTCCAGTTTTCACATTATAAAAAATTTGACTTTGACTATCTTGTGTCCACTTTCATAGGCATTCTGGTGGCTTAGTGGTTAAAGGATTCAGCTGGTAACCAAAAGATTGGCAGTTTGAATCCACCAGCCACTCAACGGGAAAAAGATGATGCAGTCTGCTTCTGTAAAGACTTATAGCCTTAGAAATGCTATGGGGGCAGTTCCACTCTGTTGCATAGGGTTGCTTGTGTCAGAATGGACTTGACAGTGGGTAGGGTTGGGTTTGGTGTTGTCCCCATATTTAAAAATTTTTCAAGGATATTTTGGAAGTGTGAGATAATGCAGCATTGTGGCTGTTATTGGTAGGTGCTGTTGGGTTGGTTCTGACTCATAGCAACCCTATGCATAACAGAAGGACTCCCCAGTCCTGCACTATCCTCATAATCATTGCTATGCTTGACTCCATTGTTCCAGCCACTGTGTAAATCCATCTCCTTGATGGTTATTCTGGTGACCTAGTGCCGCTGTAAGAGAAAATACCACAAATGGGATGACCTTAACAAACAGGAGTTTATTCTCTCACAGTTTGGAGGCTTTAAGTCCAAGTTCAAAGTGCCAGGCTCCAGGGGCTGGGTGAAAGCTCCTCAACCTTCAGGTCCAGCTCTGCCTTATGCTCCCAGCCCACTGGAGCTAGAGGTGTTTCTTCATTCAGACAGCTGCTGGCTGCTGAGGCTGAGAAGCCCAAGGTTGACAAGTAAAAAGGGGCAGTCCTGATGTTACCAGGCCATTGCAAGTCCCAAGGTTGGTAGAGCATGGCAGGCTGCTGAACAATGACATGGCTACATGCAGGGTCCAAGTGTACCATAAGTTCGAGACCGTCCCCCAAGGCTTCTGCTTATACACAGGAAGCAGACCTCATCCCTAAGACAGCTACTCAGCTGCTCACAGTAGATCCCACCATGGAGTTGATTGCCAGTCTCATCATGGGGAATAACTACCACCAGCTACCCAGCCACTCAACCAGGCCCAACCAAGTTCACATACAAATTTAACTACCACAATGGTCTTCCTCTTTTTCGCTGATCTTCTACTTTGCCATGTATGATGTCATTTTTCAGCAACTGGTCCCTCCTGATAATATGTCCAAAGTACATGAAATGAGCTCTCACCATCCTCACTTTCAGGGAGCATTATGGCTGTACTTCTAAGACAGATTTGTTTGTTTTTCTGGCAGTCCATGGTAAATTCAAAATTCTTCACCAACACTGTAATTCAAAGGCATCAATTCTTTTTCCCTGATCCTTATTCATTGTCCAGCTTCAGCATGCGTATGAGGCATTGAAAATACCATAACTTGGGTCAGACACACCTTAGTCCTCAGAGTGACATCTTTTTTATTTATTTATTTATTTTAACACTTTAAAGAGGTCTTTTGCAGCAGACTTTCCCAGTGCAGTATGTCATTTGATTTCTTGACTGCTCCTTCCGTGGATGTTGATTTTGGAGACAAGGAAAATGAAATTCTTGAAAACTTCAGTCTGTTTGCTGTTTATCGTGATACTGCTTATTGGCCCAGTTGTGAAGATTTTTGTTTTCCTTATACTGAGGTGTAATCCATACTGAAGGCTGTAGTCTTTGATCTCTTCATCAGTAAGTGTTCAGGCCCTCTTTGCTTTCAGCAAGCAAGGCTGTGTCATCTGTACATCACAGGTTGTTAATGTGATGCCTCGTTCGTCTTCTTATAGTCCAGCTCTTAATTATTTGCTCAGCATACAGACTGAATAAGTATGGTAAAAGACACACCTTTCCTTTAAACCACCCAGTATACTCTTACTTTGTTCAAACTACTGCCTCTTGGTCTATGTACGTTCTTCATGAGCAAAATTAAGTATTCTGGAATTCCCATACTTTGCAATGTTATCCATAAATTGTTATGATCCACACAGTCAAATGACTTCCATAGCCAATAAAACACAGGCAAAAGTATTTCTGGGATTTCCTGCTTCCAGGCAAGATCCATTTGACATCACCAATAATATCCTTTGTTCCATGTCTCCTCTGAATCTGGCTTGAATTTCTGGAAGTTCCCTGTTGATGTACTGCT